TTTAGCACTCCATCTATATATTTACCTAGACTTAAGCTTGGTTGCTTGATGTTTGTGTCTCATTGTTACTGTCTCCCCCTTGTTGGGCTCCTGGTTTGTCATGTGTGAATCATGTTCTGATTGTGATATGATTCAAGTTGGAATTGAGCTTGAATTTGTATTTCGGTAGATTGACTGTGTAATAAGCAACAAACAGTTGTTTCTAAATTGAGTTACAGTTTTAGTATTCTTAGTCTTATGTTGAAATTTGAAACTCACTGTACTTACTTTCCTTGCCTGTAGAGAGTCAGACACTACATTAACTTCTCATTGGGTGAGGCACTGTTGAGAGCACGCAGTTATTTTCTGGGGAGCTACTGGTATTGGATTGGTGTTGGTGCTTCGTTTGGATACACAATTTTGCTGAATATCCTATTCACTGTCTTTCTGGCTAACCTTAACCGTAAGCTATCTTGGTTCTATTGAAAGTTTGTCAATTATGAACTTCCTTTCTTACATTATAGTATATATGGTGTCAATTCTAATTAATTTTTACTTTGTCATTTATCATAGCTCTGTGAAAGCAACAGGCTGTTTTCTCCAAGGAAGAGCTGCAAGAGAGGACAGGAGAAGGAAGGGTGAAAATGTTTGTTACTGAACTGGAGACATTATTTGCAAAATTCAGGCTCACTATGTGGTAAGTAATAGACATTTTAGATCTTTTAACCTTTTCAATTTCCATGTCAGTGTGCGGCCAAATAGTTTAGTTGTCTGTTCAACAGCTGGGCAGGAAAATATTTCAAGCAGAGAGGCATGGTTCTTCTCCCATTTCAACCACTTTCTATGTCTTTCAGCAATATCAGTTACTTTGTAGAAATTCCTGTGGCATACACTTTGCTTAATTTTCCTATGCTATTTGTTTTATGGAAATACATTGATTAGTTAAATTCTTATCTAAGTATCTTTTCAGGAACTGAAGCAATAAAGGATAACGGAAGACAGATTGCAGTTGTTGGTCAATGTTACTGGAGCATTTAGACCAGGTTTGCTTACAGCTTTGTCGGTGTCAGCAGTGCCGGAAAACTACACTTATGGATGTTTTAGCTGGTCGAAAAACTGGTGGGTTATCTCAAAAAGCAAGAAACCTTTGCCAAATTTTCAGGTTACTGTGAGCAGAATGATATTCATTCTCCTTTTTGGTTGTTCTGGAATCACTTCTATTCTCTGTTTGGCTTCGGTTTCCATCAGATGTTGACTCGGAGACACGAAGGGTAATCATAAAAAATCTTCTCTTTGCCATGTTGTAGTTGAAGCATGGTGTATCATTATAACTTGTTAGGCTTGAATTTTCAGGCATTTGTTGAGAAGGTGATGGAACTTGTGGAGTTCACTCCACTAAGTGGGGCATTGATTGGTATACCAGGAGATTTATTTTTCGTATATCTCATAGAAATAAAAAAGACTTCTTTCACTATTCTTTAGCAGCTAGTTTTCAACCCAATTGTATATACAAAATTCAATTATAATATATATTAAAAAATTTTTATATATAAGACATAAAAAATTTCAATGTAAAACAAGTAATGGGAAAATCGATATTGTAGATCAATATGTAATTATATAGAGAAGTTTAAAGAAACAAGCTTTTGTATCATATTCCATATAATGATAATTTAATTTTTTTTAAAAATAAATGTTTGATTTCAAATTATTGAGATTTATTCCACTTAAAATCAATATTTTTCGTACTTTTTATATGAACACACGATAGTGCTAGTTTTTCAATAAAAAACTAAATATGAATTAAAATTTAATATAATAAATTTTTTGAAAAAAAAAAAGCATGAAAGTGCTTAAAAAACAAATTTAAATCAGTAATTTTATTTTATTTTATTTTATTTTTATTTTAAGTCATCATAAGCCAACTAAAGATGGAACAATTTAAGCAAAATAAAGTAGTACTCAATTCAAATAGAGTAATGATGTATTATATATATACTCAAATAAACATAGACAAAAATTATAAATAAATAAATAAGACAAAAACCACAATTATTTTAAAAATACACTTATAATTGAAATATAATTTTGCATTACATAAAAAATTTCCTTGATATTAATCAATTAATAATTAAAAGTACATTAAGAAAAGTAGAAATTAATAATAATAAAAAGAGTAGTAATCAATTATGATATTTGACTATTTTAAGGATTCTTTCTTCGCGTGTCAAAAAATCATTAATCTGTGCATTACAATTATGGAAATAAAATATCAAAATTAAATTATTTTTTATCAAATTCAAACTTAAAATTACGTCCACTTAATAGTGAAATAAGAAATTTAATTTGTTTAAACAAAAATAGAAAGAAAATAATACAAATTAAAGTAGGTTTTTCTATATTTATTATATTAAATTAGATTTATACATATAAAAGTTATAATTTAACTTAATTTATGAGTGAATAATTATGAATTCTTTTAAATTAGTCAACTTGTCAAAGTAATAGTACGGTAAATAGTAATTTAATTTTGGTAACAATTAATGTAAAACAAAAATTAATTTTAAAATTTTACATTAATTGATGGACATATTATATAGCATTAATTTGAACAATTCACATGTCAAAAATAAATTATTCACATTGGATATTTTTCTTTTTTATTAAAAATTTAATTTTTATATATTTATATAAAAATACAAGATTAACTAAAAACTAAAAATGAAAGGAATGAGAGTAATTTATGAAATGTAATAAAAACTGCCATATTAATAATTTAATAATATTTTATACCAACGTATGTTAGACTGTTCAAAAAAAAAATTCCAGTGCAATAATTAGAAGATAGAAAATATATTCTTGGGTAATTAAATTTCTATTTAGTTTATTATTTTATTTGTATTATTAATCAAATTAATTGTAATTTATTCGTATAAGGTAAAAATATTAAATATTTAAGAAAGAATAAATGTAACTAAGTTAATCTAATTATTTATTTTTTAAGTAATAAAAATATTTTAAATAAATAAAATTCATTTATTGGAGGACACAAGATGATTTTTTAAATATGTTTACATGTAAAAAATGTAGACTCTCAGTATAGGATTATTTCCTTTTTTTCTTTTTTGTAAAAATTATAACTTTATATATTTATATAAAATAATAAATTATTTCGAATTTCCTTAAAATGAACGCTTCCTTCTCCCTTGAAAATTTCAAAAGGCAGGTATCAGTATAAAGAAGTTGTAAAGAATTTTATTTTATAAAGATATGAGTATAAAGAAGTTATGATCATAAATTATATTCATATAAAAAAAATTTTGAATTAAATCATATAAACGAACCAATTAATAAATTAATATATAATTGGACAAAATCTAAAATAAAATTGAATCAAATTCACTATGACTTGAACATAAAAATGTCCTCTTTACCACTAAATTAACATCTTATAAACAAATTAATGTAGCGTACTAAATTTATTAATTCTTAATAAAATAGTTGGAAACAAAGTGAACAGAGGAAGTATTTCATAATATTACAAAGAATTACTTTTGTCTAATCTATTTGTCTTATTTGATATGATAATAATTTATTGAATTTTGATATATCTGTTATTTATAAATTGATTAATTCACCATAGTAATGCAACTTCAAGAGTATTTTATTCAAACATATTTTTCGGAAGGCAAACTCTATTGTATGGGGTTTCTCGGTCATGTGCTTTGGTGGCTTGATTTTAATTGGGATGTTGTTTTTTTTTATCTTCTCTTATTGTTCTTAATTTTTGTTTCAAATTTTCTTTTAATTTCATTTAATTAAATTATCTGCCTTTCAAAAAAATTTTTAAAGATCTCATCTTTAATATTTGTGTATTAAAGTTAAACATGACAATTCATATATTCATGTGATATTTGTTTTTCTATATGTCAAATATGAAGCATATTTTTTATTTTTTTTAAATTCATAATTTTTATTAAAATTTTAAATTGTTTTATTTTTAAATTTTTTTATATTATTTTCGTATCATATCAGTGTGTTGTATTTAAAATGTTAAATCTAAGTAAATTATTGTCACTTAACATTATGTTTAGTAGGAAATAAAAAAGTGGAGGAAAAGACAGAGGTAACAAAAGAAAATAGAAAAGAGAGGAAGAGAAGTCATTTCATTTTAATTTTGTTTGGCATGAAAGATAGAAAATAATAAAAAAAAAAAGATAGAAATTAAGATAAAGTTATAAATAAAATTATTAATTTAAGTTGAATGAATTTTTTTTATATATATTTAGAAGGATTTGATTATAAAGGAAAATAAATATGTAAATGTACTCTCTTTTTTTTCATCTTCATATTTGATATTTTCATTCTATCAAACCACAGAAATCATGAAATCTTTCTTTTCCTTTCTTTTTTCCTTTAACAAATAGGGTGTGAATGAAAAGAAATAGGAAGATAAAAGAGGAAAGACATGAAGGCATATGAGTTTATATTTGATACATTGTCAACATATAAATTTGATATATTATCAATAAATTAAATTATGATACTTTATTAATGAGTAAATATGAATCTTTAAAATAAATATACATAAATTAAAATTTTTAAAAAAATTTACTTAATAATAAAATGTTATTATTTAATTCACCTTATTAATAAATTATCATCGTTTGATTCATTATCAATATATAAAATTTATACATTAATTATATATCAAATATAACTCAAACAGCTCTTTCAAAAGGAAATTTAAAAAATGTAATCACATAAAATATTGCAGCTTGTCCTTCAAGACCCAGAAAGGGAAAAGACAAAAAAAGTTCCATACCCTACATTTGCTCCCTACAGATGTTGGGCTTGCACTTACCGACAGCAATATCAACTTAGCATATAGACAATTCAAGCAAGACAACAGTCAAACAAGCCCCTGTCTCTGTCCTGTCTATGTATGCCACTAACTTACAAACCATCCTCACTTCACCAACAAATTTCTCCTGTTTTTTGCATATGAAATAAATCCGACCATGGAATCAATCCCATCATCCCAAACCTTCAAATCCAGCCCTTCCCATCCCAAACATGTCGTTCCATTAGACTTCAACAATGTCCCTAAACTCCCAGATTCCCATGCATGGAAGACGACCTTGCCTATTGATGATCACCAGTTGATTGACCCTTTTACCGAAGAACCTTTGCCCATCATTGACCTTGCCAAACCGGATGTGTTTAACCTCGTAAGACATGCCTGTGAGAAATGGGGAGTGTTTCAAGTCACCAACCATGGCATTCCCGTTAGTTTCTTTTATGAAATTGAGTGTCAAACTCGGCGGCTGTTCTCGCTGCCCGCGGAACGCAAGCTACTGGCTGTCCGGTCACCGGAGGGCTTCACCGGGTATGGCTTGCCCCGCATCTCCCCCTTCTTTCCCAAGCTGATGTGGTCAGAGGGTTTCTCCATTATAGGGTCCCCAGTGGAACATGCTAGCCAACTTTGGCCTGAAGATCATTCCAAATTCTGGTACGTGCATTCTGCATGCTCGGCTGTCACGATTACAAAAATTGTGGTTCATATATATTTCGAAGAAAAGGCTTAAATAAAGTTTCTTAAATGAAATTTTTTATTAAAAATATTAAATAAAAATTAAATTGAAAAAAATTCTGATAACGGGTAAAATATGCATACAAATAGAGCAACCAAATAATATTGATTTGAAAATTAAATTTAGAATCTATTTTAATTCTTAATAATCAATTTAATTATAAAAAAATATTATTATTTTTATATTTTGTCTTCTCTCTTTCATTTTTTCATCACACATGATTCAATTTTACATAATTATTAGTACATGAATGCAAGTAAATATCTCTAAAAATTTTACACAAGATTTAACTAGTAATTACTATAATTGTGAAATTTTCGTCATAATTTTCACGATGTCTTAATTATTTTGGGTACATTTCACAACAATGTCTATTAAATAAAGTATTAAAACATCATTTAAAATTTTGATATGCTTTGTCTATTTAACAAACTGATATGTTAATATTTTATTTTATTTTATTTATTAAAAACTCAAATGAATTGCACTTAAGAATTATTCCTAAGTTTTTATCCATATATATATATATATATATATATGTTCATTTTAAGTTTCTTAACGAAACCCTAATTTAAATCCGGACGGAAGAATTTCACTATTAATATGTTGTGGTGGAATATAAGGGATGGTTTGGCTATAAATGGCCAAAAAAAGAACAAAACAAAACAAAAAGTGGATGGCTCGGTGAATGTGGGTTGTATGGAATTTCGTTACTATCAAAGGAAACATGTTGTGAATGGTGGCAGAAAACTTAGGAAAAAGTTCGTGCATTATTTATACAATTCTTTTCACGTACACTCCAACTAGCTCATAATTTATATATATAATTTAGGAAAAATCACAGTATGAGCATAAAAAAAGAGATTATAAATATTAATATTTAAATCACAGATTTTATTAGATATTATATCTTAAAGATGATTATTCGAACTAGTTAAATTAAATCTTGTACTGAAATTTCATTTGCTTCGTTATTGAATCTCTATTTTTTAGCTGCTTAAACCTAAAGCAGTAATTAAGCATCAATTAATTTGCTTCTCTATATACATACCACTATTAAGAATACCAGAGGCAAGAAAAGAAAATAAGAACTACTACTAGTAATTATCTTGTTGCCAATTCTCAAAGGTAATTTTTAAATTCACATTTTCCTCTCCACCGCTTCATATGCATTAGCAAAATTGTTAATTTGTGCTAGTAAGATTTTTGTGACCCTGGCATCCCTCCATGGCTGACAGCTGAGATGGAATAATCCTTGTCATCAAAACTAAAAGAAATCCTGAAAAAAAAAAGAAGAGATGTTTGCCTTCAGGACACAATTGGACAAAACCAACAAGTTTTTTTTTTTTTGTATATATTTTATTTGTGTTATTTTGTTCGGGATACACTTTGCGAATAATGAAGCTTTAAGGCTTCTGCAATATTTCACTGGTTGTCTTTGATATGTTTCTTGTTTTATTAGTCTGAATAATTTGTCTTTATTCTTTTCATTTTCTATTTGTTAAATCTTTTTTTTTTGTCTGTTTTCAGATAGAATATATATTTATGGCATGATTTGTTTGTGATTCTGGTTTCGTGCAGCGAGGTAATGGAACAATACCAGGCGAAGATGAAAGGATTAAGCGAGAAAATAGTGGCAACAATGCTTAGCTCCTTGGGCTTAACTCATGAAGATGTGAAATGGTTTGAGCCCAAAAATGGTTGTGACCAAACCACATGCGTTCTTCAACTGAACTCCTATCCAGTGTGCCCGGACCCAGGCCGAGCCATGGGCTTAGCCCCTCATACAGATTCATCTCTGCTCACTTTGCTTTACCAAGGCTGGGTTAGTGGCCTCCAAGTCTGCAGAGATGGTGCAGGGTGGGTGGCAGTGGAGCCGGTTGAGGGCGCCTTGGTGGTCAGTGTTGGTGATTTGATGCATATCGTCTCCAATGGCAAGTTCAAGCCTGTGTTGCATCGTGCAGTTGTGAACAACACGCACCACCGAGTGTCGACAGCATACTTTTACGGGCCACCACGGGAGGTCAAGGTCTCACCATTAAGGAAGTTGATCGACCATGCTCATCCCCCACTATATCGCCCGGTGACATGGAAGGAGTACCTTGAAGCCAAGTCAAAACATTTTAACAAGGCACTTGAGTCGATTCGTCTTTGAATTTACATTTTGGCACTAGCTAAAACCAGAGGAAGGAAATAACTGTTATCCTACAATTTTAGTACTATGAAATGTTTCAACTGAATTGAGATGGTTAAAAGTATTGTAGGAAAATTGTCCAAAACTTCTTTTTAAGTATGATAAAATAATACACATATTCGATTTAGTTCAAATCAATATCATTTTTCACTATATTTAATTTTTTTAAGAAAAAACAATGACTTGGAGATTAAAAGAAATAATTATAGATATCTAAATTATTTAAATATTATTTTTTAAAAATGATCACATAAATTAATCAAATTAAATTTTATATTCATTGTATTTCGGTTTAATGAACAATAATAACTTTGATAAAAGATATGAAACCTTAAAATTAACCGAGGCTAGTTTAGGATGACATTTTTGGTGGAGAAAATGTAAAACCCCTTTTCCTTTTGAAACTATTGACAAGAATTGAAGAACAAGTACAACAGACCTGTCAGAAAACCTTGTTATCTGCATATACATATAGTGAAGAGACTATGCCCATCGACAGAAAAGTCGAGAAAACCGGGGTCGATCACTTCCAGAGTTTCACAAACTTGTCATGACTAGCTGAGTTTACCATGCCAGTGACATTGGATACCGCCAAGGCAGAGACTAGCTTCTCATCTGCATTTAGTGTCAATGTCTTGTTCTCGGTCATGTTCCAGAGTCTTGCGAACGCCGTCATTCCAGGTCATAAGCATAACAATAATCAGTCGTTTGAATAGGAAAAATTGGAAAGAAATTAAGCAAAGCAATGCATCTCGCATGGAACATTGGCAGTACAAAGCAATATACCCACAACAGCTGAAAAACATGATAACCCACTCTTGCAGTTGAAAAAATGATAATCAGGGAAAATGATCAACTCGTGCAACATGCCGCCCTTCCCAGAGCTTGTGAGGAATACAGATAAATGACCCACCAAGATAAAATTCAATTGTTTTATTCCCGTTTCACGTATGTAAAAAACAAATTCTTATTTTACGTAATTTTGAAGTCTATTTTAAAAATGTATATTTAACCATTGTTGACAGTAAAAAACTAAAATTGCAACCCTACTCGTAGCTATCATCATCCCTTTCCTTAAGCATTTTATTTGCAATTTTTTTCTTTATTTTTGTGCAAATTAGAATATTTTCAGTTTTAAAGTGCAAACATTTGTAGATTTCTCGTAAATGTTTAGTTATTACTTACATTACAATATCAATAAAATTATTACATCGTAATGTATTCTAAGCTATTTAAACTTGATAAAAAATAACTTGTATATAAAAGTTATATAACATATCTATATTTTAATTATTCACAATATAAAAATCTTAAATTTTTTAAATTTAATAAACTCTAAACGAAATATTTCAACTAATTTTAATGAACTGAAAATAAAAATTGCACATACCTAGATTGTAAAAGTTTGCTCAATATACAATAATCCTGCCTTGCTCTTTGTCGAATGATGTCAAAGTACTTCGACCACCACCGTTTCAACAAATTTTCTATTGATTTTTGCCTAAATCTTCACCTCAAAAAACTTTTTTTAATCAAAATTGAAAGGTTTTTTTGGTTTTATAATTTAGTGAAAACATTTGATTTCTTTCAAATGAGATGATTTGATTATAAGTAACAAAATTTTGCTTTTTATTTCGAATGTTTCGAGAACAAATCATGGATTTTATAACAATAAGAGTGTTCTTATCATTTTATGAAAGGGTCCAAAAAATACTAACACGAATATATATTTTGGAGTGATTAAATGTCACTTTTTAAATCTCATACGACAAACTCATATCAAGTTTAATTATAAAATATATTTATATAATTTACTCCAAAATAAAAAAGCAAGTATATTAGTAATTTTCAAATAAATTAATCGAATTTATTCAAATTCGAACTTAACTAAATTCAAACCTGACTTGTTAATAATAATTGAGATTAAAAAAAAATCAAATTAAATTTTTAATTATATTAAAGTAAAAGTAATAAATATTTAATTAAATTCAATGTTCGAATCAAACTTGAACTTCGAGTTTGAACTAAGCTCAATACACAAACTTAAGATTATAGTCACTTATATTTCTTTTATTTCTACTAAAATTCATCCTATCCAACAACTGACTTTCCTACAAAAAAATGGAAAAAAAAAATCTCTAAGATCAAAAGATACAAGAAAAGAATATTGGTGAAAACTTGTCATTCTTTAAAATCAGCCTTGTCATCCACAGGAAGTGGTCTGTTCCTCCAATACACAGCAAGAGCACTCCCACCAAGCTGCAAGAAGTTGAAAAGAAGTCAAGGTTTGTAGGAAGTAAATAGAAACCAGAGAGCAAAAAGTGTCATACCGCCATGCAAACCACACTAACTGCAGAAGGAACAGCGACTAGGGGATTGGTAAAATGTTTCTGGGCAAGCAAGAAACCAAGTGCAGAGCTCTACATAAAACAGAATAACAGCATCACTAATCACATTTGTTATCGGGTGAATAACAGCATATTTGATGAAGTCGACAAGACAAAGTCACCAAGGGACATGCAATAGGGAATGTCTAATCACAAAAGCTCCACGAATAGTGAAAGCGGAATAGATGGACAGGAAACTGTGGCACATTTAATAATATCTGGTAAATTGCACCTAGTTTGGAGCCATGAGATACTAAGTTATTTTCAGGACTGTAAAACTTTTTCCTTTTCTTTTAGATGACCGTGATTGCAGGGAAAAAAAAGACCAAGCATATCAGGTGCAAATGACAAAATAACAGATGCTTAAGAAATTGTCCAGATAAAATGACACAGAATCCTCTGAGAAAGAATATGATACATTAGAGATTTAAAACAGAAGAATGTACCATCCGAAAAGCTGCTTCATGAATTGGTCATGCGAGTTATGTCTTGCTTATGCACAAGGACAGTAACACTCGTCAAAGATAGCAGTTCTAATGTTGTGATTATAAAGGTTTTTGTATAATGAAGATATCGAGCATTTATCATCCCCAATATCATCACAGATATAACATAATAATCATTCATGAAAATGTTAAACGTTAAAAAGTTTTAAGAAATCTAATGTCTTGATAGTAATGAAGAAACGCCTACCTGCATACCACATTCAATGGATATGGTCCGAGAAGTGGATTCACCAAATGATATTTTTGAAATCCAGTAACCAAGGGCAAATGCGACAGCATGTAGGAGAGCTACAGGCGATATTAGCTGAGCTCCTTGGGCTTTCAAGACTTCAGATACTTGGCCAATCTTAGTATTAAAACGACATCTATGTTAATTCTTTACGTGGAAAGAAGCTTTCAACGGGAGCGCATAACGTGAATATTAAAGTTTAAGATATTGTAAATATACTTCACGAAAAATCCTCAGAACTTACAGGGCTTGTACAAAGTAGAGTAGTGAGAATAACTCCAATTAATGGAGTTACTGAGATTATTTTTGAAGTGAATTTGGGAAAGAATTCATTGAACAAGACTGCCACAAAGAAGACATTAGAATCATATGATTGTATGTCAAGATTCCTTAGACTTCATGATAATTGAAGTGCAACCAATAATAACAGATAACAACAATAATCGTTTGTCACCTCCAACAATTGTTGGTACTAACACAACCTGAAAAGTGCTGATAGCAAGACCCTACAAGGATTTTTGGAAAAAAAATCTTTACATTAGTGGAATCACCTAAATGAAGGTTATATACTTTAAATTTACGTAGATGTCACTTTGAGATCTTATACTCTACCTCTCACTTAGGTTCTACAATTTCTATGATCACTATTTTGTTTACCTAATCTATCACCACTATTATGTAATAAGGTGTAGATATTTTCTAAATTTCTTTTGCATCCACCTGATTTGTTTCGCCTTAAAGTTTCGACGGATGAATCAGTCCAAAAAATTTGGAAGAGAAACCAAAGAGGCTGGTCCCATTACTGTGTACGTCAGTCACCATAATAAAGCAAGAGATATTGACTACTTTGACTTCTACATCGTCAGTTGTCTCATGCTTCATGTATTTGCCAATTACTATCCATAAAGGCAAACAAAAAAATAAGAATAAACATACCGCAGCATCAACAGGAACAAGCTGACCGGCAAGAAGCTTCGTGAGGAGGGGTGTCATAACTATTGCTCCAATAGTTGAACATCTGCAAAAATTCCAGAAGAAATTGGGGAGCTTGAAAGTTGTTTAATTTCAAGTTTCAGAAATATTGAAAGTGTTCTAAATATTTTACTTCATAAGTTATAAAGCTTCCTTAAATACAAAGGTAAAGCATATTTGATGTAAGTTGTCCTATTAGCTATCATTTCAGCCATGCAGGTTAAAGTATAGCCAAATAAAAACTAGGTCATCATCATATACTCCAGATATTTATCATGCAGTTCTATATTGTTTGAAAATAGAAGCATCGATTACTAGCAATCTCGATGTTTACCAAATGGAGCCTAAAAACATCAAGAAAATTTTCTTCATTGCTAATAATCTTATACTTCTTCTCATAAGCATGATGCACATAATTCCTTTTTCTCTGGTAAAAATATCTGAAATACCCTACTGAAATATCATCATACTAAGGCCATTTTTTTCCCACAAACATCTATAAACTCTAGCTAGTTCTATGCTAATCTCGATTCCTCTACCTTAGAAACATAAGTGAAACAAAAGCCGGATACACAAATGAATTTTTGTTGAATTAACATCTGCCAAAGACCTTCATAGTCAAAAGATAGTTTTTACACCTTTCCCTTAGGGGGGAGGGAGAGAGAGAGATAGAGAGAAGAAACAAATTTTGGAACCAAAGTTAAACTTAAGGGATATCAAATGAAAAGTTACAAAAGGTTTATTATGTAGTTAAAAGATCATAAGACTACTCTATCAATAAAAAGCATTTAGATGGGTGGATGCAGTTTGATCTTACGTTGTCATGAGAACAGAGAGTGCTACATCCCCCCTAGATATATAGGTTGCAACATTTAACGCCTGACCACCAGGGCAGCATGAGACCAAAATAAGACCAGTTGCAAGTGGAGCAGAAAGTTTCAGAGTCTGAAAATCACATAGATGTTGTTCAGCACTCATTTATTCATACGAGCCTACTAGAAAGCCCTATAATGATGATGAATCACATTCTACATAGTGCAATCTAAATTACATTGACTTTCATTTCAAAAGCCAAATTTGGACAACATATATCATATTTTCTGCAGTCTTCATCCAACCTCTTTATTGGGAGATTCCTCAATCTATTAATATCACAAAAAATTTTACCAGTATTCTATAACTCAAATAAAATAATACAAGGGACATCATTTTTTGAAGTAAAGTCTCATGTCTTCTTGTTATGATGATGAATTCTGTTTCCACGATAAGTAGAACTCAACCAGCCAGAAATGAGGGTACTGATGCAAAGGCAAATTTTGGATTACCATTGCAATAGCAAATCCTAGCATAGGCTTGATTACGTATTGAGCAAGAAATCCTACACCTACCTGCAAAATTGGAAACTAATGCTCTTAACCATGTAAACACTAAAACAGGATCATTTTTGTTTTATCAGCAGTCTACTAACTCAAGTGAATATTTTGCCTTACAGTCCATGGGTTCCGTAGACAGCGTCTGAAATCCTCAAAGGTTAATGTTAATCCCATTGAAAGCATGAGGAAACCTAGGCCAATGGTGAAAAGATCTGTCTCTAACCATGTTACCTTTAAGAGGGAATAAATGGTTAGGTAGCTAAGCAACATTTGAATCAGCATTCACTAAAAGCAGCAGAGGCCTGAAAATTACCGCAGCTGGCTTGTAGATACCAATAATAGTTCCCCAGAATAACCTGTTCATTAAATCAAAGTTATAATGTAAAATTAAAGATAAAAATATCAGCTGGAGTTTTATTAAATACACTAACAAAATCGAACACAAACCAACACAGGGAAAAGAGTTGTCAAAGTTTCAATCATTCTTTCGTACTGGTTCATCCCACTTGGCGTAGGAAAATCTCCGGATACATTTGCTGCAGCCTTGCACACAACTCTGGAATTCCTGGATATAGAGATCAAATCATTCTTAAGGACTCTAAAAATGCACAAAATGGGAATCCATACATCAACAAATAGTGGGTTTGATACATTAGAAAAAAAAATCTGAGACTGCCTCACATTAGAACCCAAATCCATGAATATTGGAGCTGAAAATGAGATACAACAGGTACCAAAGCCAGGAGTAGTCATTGGTAAAGGAGCAATAAGACCAAAGGAACAGGGTAATCTAAGTTCAGGTGTCCAAGTAGCAGAAAAAAGCAAGTTAATGTTGGGATAGAGAACTGGATTCACCAATTTGTATGAGATAGTGAAACAAACTTGGGACCAGGGGTTACAGAACCTTATTTATACAACAAAAACAAACTAGCCACCTTGCAAGGTCCTTGCAGGCAACCAATTTTACTATCCTTACTTTCCTCCCTAGCCAAAAAAGTATAAAACGGCATGCGCTCTAAACATTTTTTTTAAACAGTCACCCCTGTAATTATCAGATCAAATTAGCTGGCTTTGCTTCTTTCTCGTGGTCAAAGCAATGAATTTAACACTGAAACATGCATTCTCGAGCATTGTATGAAAGAAATTCAATCAAATCAAACACTTGGTTCTCAGAAAGTACCTTGAAGCAGGAATGATGGAGGAAGGGGCCGCAAGAGCAACTAGGGGACTACTTGGCTTGCGTTGGATTGCCCAACCTATCCCATTCTCAGGCACAGATATTCCAGCTCTAACATCTGAACATTCATATAAAGCACAGAAATCACAAATAAACCCATGTGATAAACAAGTGACTATAGACAACCCAAAAAGCAATAAATAAAACACGAACAAAAATAAAACATACCCGGATGAGCTGGCTGTAGCCTTGTAGCAGGAATCAAATACAAGGGTCTTCTACATATAGCATCATATGTTTGCAGATTGTAATCTTTGACAACGAATCTAGACAAAGATGACATCGTGAAACACAAAAATAGAAAGCTTTGATCAAAATAAGGCAGGGTTTAGAAGGGTAGAGGGTTTTTGAGTAATTTCATTTTGCCGCTGGCTGGTTACTCCAAGCTACAAGGGGACAATTCACAAATGGGATATCGATGTCGTATAAACCGAGGAACCACACGTATGCACAAAATGGGTTCATCCAAATTCTGGCTTAAGACATCAACTTTTTGCCGCTGACTCCTGATATGTGAGTTGACAAATTCACTGCCGGTTGTCGTTTGCGTAAACTTGTGAACTCCCACTTCTCTGGAGCTGTAACCGTCAAAACGAAAATATGATGTGCTATATCTTTCTCGTGATTATGATCTATCAAAAACATGCTTTTCGGCGTGGACTTGGACTTTCAATGTTTTCATTTTCAAGTTCATTGCTGCGCCCGGTTTGCTCTTTGCAAATCTGCTTGTTGATTGCCTGCGGTTTTAAATTGCAGTAGCGGTTAAGTTTTTGACTAGGAGTCGTTTATCGTAATTTCGGATATAACGAAAGAAATAATGATCATCACATTTATTATATTGTAAATTTTTTTATTGTTGCACAACTCACCAAATTTGAGAAAATAATAATTTTATTTATGAAAACTCTTATATTATATTATCTAAAATAATTCATGACATTTTAAATTATTTACTTATATGATAAAATAAATTATTATTTTTTTAATATATTTCGGTAATATGCATATTTAAAAATGTTCAATATGCAAATCCATAAATTTTATAATCATGACAAATATAAATACATGAGATTAAAATATTAATTTTATATGTAAAATTATATTTTTTAAATATATAAAATTAAAGTCATTAATTTTAAATTAATTAGAAAAATAATAACCGAAAGTTTTAATATATTAATTAATAAGATACTTCTCAATCTAACTTAAATCAAACACAAAAAATATAAAAACAATTAAAATAACATAAGTAATACCAAATTTTAATCATTTAAGATTAATATTTTTAAATGAGAATAAAACATATATTAAACTTATGAAAATAAAATTCATTATTTATTGTGTATATTTCTCTCTCAAATATTCAAAAATATTTTTCAAATGTCCATTTCTCACAAATCTTGTGTCTTTTTCTCTTAATTTTTTTTTTCTTTTCAAAATTTTTATCTAAAGAAAGAGAACATAAAAAATTAATTTTAACTTTTAAAAACCCACAAATGACAAGCCTTTCAAATTTTCCTATTTCCAAATTTGCTTTCTTAAACTTTTTAAAATAATTAACAACTCAATTACCCTTTAATTTTCATTTAAATTATAAAAAAATTATTAAAATATCAATTTTTCACCATCCATTTGTCTTTCTCTCTTTAGATTTTTACCTAAACAATAAAAGTCAAAAATCACTTTCGATTTCGTGTCATAAATGAGCATCATCAAGGGAGAAAATTGATTCAAGATCATCATCTGAGAGATTGATATTTAAGATATTAGCAATGTCTTGGATCATCTTGACTAACTTTTTGTCTGACTTTGGGTAATTATTTGAAAAATATCTTGGTTTTTCACAGATAAAACATTTTGAGCTTTTGATCTTTGGATTTTTCTTCTTTCTTGCAAATTTGAATCTTTAAAATCTTCTGGGTTTATCAGCATATCTGAAGAACTTCTTATGTCTGGGTCTGTAAATTATTGGAGGTCTGGAAGGTCTGAATCTTCTGAAATGCTTCTTTTTCTTGTTGCTGCAAAAACATGTGGGATCTTTGGAAGAACATTTGATTTGAAGTCTTGATGAGGAGTAAAAACATGGTTTTTCTAGCTTTTTGGAGTTGTGCACCAAGGTTTTGATGTATTTGTGCTCTTTGCAAATCTTATCAAGTGCTTTCAACATCATCTTGTAGATATCTCCAATAGATTTAACATCAAGGGATCTGAGGTTCAACTAGGTCCTTGTTTGTTGAGCAAGTTCTTTTGGAACAGAATTAAGAAATGCTTGCTTTAAGTTGACATCATCGAATCCGCCAAGTATGTAAAAATACTGAGAGAATTATTGATAGTGTCTGTTAAGGTCTTTTGGATGGAGAGAACAGCATTTTAGTCTGAAGAATTACTCTCTGATTTTTTTCAATCTGTGAGTTTCTTGTCCACAAAAGATTGCTACAAATTGAGAGACAGCTTCTGTGATTGTTGGGCATTGAAAAAATTGAAGTTGTCTGTATTCACCAATATTGTCCCAAAAATTTTTCAGAGTTTCAACTAGTCTGAAAACAAATCTGATCAAAACTATGTTCATCGTAACATTGGGATGAGAGTTTAATTCAACGAGTCCCCATGCTAAGAATTCTTGAAATCTTGAGGGCCATTTTGAAGGAGAAACATCATCAATGGTAAAAATTGAGAACTTTGATGTTGAAGGAGGAACATGTGATTGTTGTGGATGAGGGTGTTGTTCAGCATCCATTGCATCAGGGTTATGGACTTCTGGAGTATCATCTGGAACTTCAACTGTTGGTTCTGTCATGAAAATCTGAGGGAACATCATTTCATCTGAGTCATCAGTATCATCTGTTTCAACTGATTCATCTGATTTGACAGTATCCATGTGAGATTCAGTCTCAAAGGTAGATGAAAAAATATCTTCAAGAGAGAACTGAAGAAGGTTATCTTGTGCCATCTGGTGAAGTATTTCTGGAAGGGTTTGTGTAGGAGAAATCATAAGTTGAATAGGTTTTTGGTTTGGTTGTGGTGTAAGATTTTGAGGTGTAGAACTTGAGCTTGGTTTTGGTTTTGAAGGTTGAGAAAGTGATTGTTCTGCTACTCTTTTGGGTTTTGGATCAACTGGTTATTTTTTTTGAAATCTGTGAATCTATTTTTCAGTTGTACCAAAAGGGGGTTGATCTGGTTGGTCTGAGATAAGAGTGAAGTATTGTGTTGGCTGTAAAGATGTTGGGGGAGGTTTGTACTGAAAAGGTGTGAAAAAAGGTTTTGAAAGTGAGGTTGGAGGATTGTATGGTTGAAATGGAGGAGGAGTATAGGCTTGGTAAGGAGTATCATGCATACCAGTGTGATATGGTGTGAAGATGTTGTAACTAGAGGCTGTTTGTTGTTGTTGTTGTTTCTGACGAAACTGATTTTGAAGGTCTGCAAGTTGAATCTTTAGGCTTTTCATTTCTTTCTATCGTTCAATGAAAGCATAAGTGAATCCAGTGTTTGTTTCAACCATGTATCTGAGTTCTTGATCAAGTGTGATTATCCTTGACTGAATTTCAAGAATAATATTTTGAAGATTGACAAGGCTCTGATCAAAATGTTGACTGACTTGATCCAACTTATGTTCGATTCTGTGCAAGTATGAATTCTACTGGAGAGAATTTTCAGTCTGCTAGTTTAAAACTGCTTCAGCACTAAAAACATTTTTTTGGTTTCTATATTCATCTCTATCAGTAGGAGTGAGGATTTTTGGAATGTGTTTGTATTGGTCTTTATGAAATTCTTGAAAAAGAAGGAAATCTGAGCTTGGGTAGGTTGGTTACATCATATAGATTTGTGGTAAAGGTTTGGGTAAAGGTTGGGTGGAATTTTGGGTGGAATCTGATTGTTGTGTGGGTTAATTTGAGTAGGTTTGAGTGTGTGGTTTATCTTTCTTAGGATAGATGACATAGTAGTCAAACTTTCCTGAGGGTTCACCAAGGAGATCAACTTCAGGGTCTCCATTTTTATATTTTTCTTTGAGCTTTTACTGGGAAGACTTTTTCTTCTTTTGCTTGGAAGACTTTTTCTTCTTTTGCTTCTTTGGAATATCATCATCATCATCATCCAAGAAGCTTTTATATGCGTCTATCTGGCATTCTTTGCATTGACAGTTTATATCCTAATAACAATGTCCTTCTAGAGATCTATACGTATACACAGGATTTCCATCGAACTAAAAGTGTGTGACTGAAACATCAAGGAGATTAGCATGATGTCTTTGCATCATAAATTATGTTGGAAAGATTGTTGGAGGAGAAACATCATTTCCTTTACTGTGATCAAATTTTATGACTTGAACATACTCTTTTGGAGCTGGATATTTGGGTTTTAAAAGAGTTTTTAAAGATCTAGTAAGAGAAGGATAAGAGTTTGGGAAAGCTGTATAGGGATTTACACGGGGTAGAACTGTTTGTTGGGTTTTTTTTTCTTCTGGAATGTAATCTACTTCATATAAGAACTTAAACTTAGAAGAAGAGAATTTTTTAAGTATAAGAGATGGAGGAGAGGACCAACTAAAAGAAGATCTGAAGGAAGAAGGTTGAGAACTAGAGTTACTTAGAGTGGATAGATCCATAAAAATAAGACTCTCTTTTGGTTTTTTCTTTTCTAATTTCAATAATCAAAACTTTAGAAACATGATTTTCTTCTCACTATCTTGGCAAGCTGCAAGCTCTTATATCATTTCTATATACAGCGGCATTTTTATACACAGCAACAGGTAGTACGGTCAAGGCTCTGGTAACTGACACGGCTTCAGTTTCGGGCTCTCTGAGTGGTAGAGTCCTGACAATACTATCTGGTACTATGACAACAGCGTGTAGATCGATCCAACTTGGCAATATAATATCAATCATAAGCAATCCATAGATCAGACATATAATCAAAGTATTCTAGTCAGTGTTCAAGACTCTGGCACCTTCTTGATTTTAACGTCGAACTGGGGGCCTGACTTTTATGAAGATATATCTTTTACTATAGTAACTTACTATTAGTATGATCTTGAGGTAGTATAACTTTTCTTTGACTGAAAAAAGGGATCAATGATCTGTTTAACAGATTAACAAAAATTTTTGATGCAGAGGATCCATAATAATATGGTAACTGCAGAGCATATTCAACTTGTATCACTGTAAACTTTGAATAGCTTGAAGAGAAGCATGAAGCTAAAAGATTTAACTATGGAAAAAGAAAGATAGAATTACCAAAAGAGAATAGAGGTTTTTAGCCAAAGAAAAGTTATACTGCCTCAAAATCATACTAATAGTGAGTTACTATAGTGAAAGACATATTTCCATAAAAGTCAAGCCTCCAGTTCGACGTTAAAGCCAAGAAGGCACCAGAGTCTTGAACATCGGTTAGAATACCTTGATTATATGTCTGATCTATGGATCACTTATGGTTGATATTATCTTGTCAAGTTTGATCGATTTATAAGCTGTTGTCATAGTACCAGATAATATTGTTAGGATTCTACCATCCGGAGAGCCCGA